ACGCCATGGAGGACAAACAACTAAGAATTAGTTCAGTTGCCGACGTATTGCTTCATCCTCATTATTGAATTGTATGGACTGATCAGTTTAACCAAAAAACTTAATAAGGTAATAGAAAAAGGTGGACAATTCACGTATACTTTAACCCCTCACGTGTAGACTTTCATATCGGATCTCCAGAGATATAACAATATACTCTAACACCCATAGATGCTTAATCGTCCATTGTAGAATGCATCTTCTGTATTGCACTGCAGTTTTTTAATTCTGCCAGCATTTTGTCTGCAGATTTCTCTGCTTCATGAACTGCAGTGACTGCACAGATGTCTCATTGTTTCATCCAGTGGTTTGTCTGAATTTATATTCAGTATATAGCCAATATAGGTCAATAAGAAGTTAGTAACTACTTGAAACTAAGAGCTCCTTGTTCGCAAGCTTGTCATCTTTTGGAGAGTAAACTTAGATTGTTTTATACATTTGTTAGCTGTTACTCTTTTTTTTTTTTTTTTTTTTTTTGAGGAAATAGATGTTACTCAATTGATTTTTCCTTTCTCAGAATAGAGCTGGCCAAATGCATAGCGAACCCATCCTGTGCAGCAAACGTAGCATGCTTGAACACATGCAATAATCGACCTGATGAAACTGAATGCCAGGTTAATCCCATAAACCTTGAGCTAACTGAAATCTGCCAGAAAAATAAGCTTTTTATGCTCTGCTTTTATCATCCATCAGATCAAATGTGGAGACCTGTTTGAGAACAGTGTAGTCGATGAATTCAATGATTGTGCTGTTTCACGCAAGAAATGTGTTCCAAGAAAATCCGATGTCGGCGAGTTCCCAGTCCCTGATCCATCAGCCCTGGTTAAGAACTTCAATATGGCAGATTTTAATGGCAAATGGTACATTTCAAGTGGCTTAAACCCGACATTTGACACATTCGATTGCCAGCTTCACGAGTTTCATGTCGAGGGAGACAAATTAATTGCAAACATAACATGGAGAATCCGCACCCCAGACTCTGGTTTCTTTACCAGGTCAACCGTGCAGCGTTTTGTGCAGGACCCCTCACAGCCTGGCATACTCTACAACCATGACAATGAGTTCCTGCACTATCAAGATGACTGGTAAACCCTCTTAGAAATTCTTTTCCACCATTGCCAATGTGTCATGCCTAAGGTTTATCAACTTGATATTTGCTGACCTGTAGGTACATTATCTCATCAAAGGTTGAGAACAAGGATGATGACTACATATTTGTATACTACCGTGGCCGAAATGACGCATGGGATGGTTATGGTGGTTCTGTTTTGTACACAAGAAGTAGAACTGTACCTGAAACAATAATACCTGAGCTAGAAAGAGCTGCAAAAAGCATAGGTCGGGACTTCTCGACGTTCATCAGGACTGATAACACCTGTGGTCCTGAGCCGCCTCTTGTGGAGAGAATCGAGAAGACTGTGGAGGAAGGAGAGAAGACCATCGTCAGGGAGGTGAAGGAGATTGAGGGAGAGGTTGAGGAGCTGGAGAAGGAGGAGGCATCATTGTTTCAGAAGCTGGCAGAAGGTCTCATGGAGGTGAAACAGGATTTGATGAACTTCTTGCAGGGGCTGAGCAAGGAGGAGATGGAGCTGTTGGATCAGCTGAACATGGAAGCGACTGAAGTTGAGCAAGTCTTCAGCCGTGCACTGCCATTGAGGAAGCTAAGGTAGCTCCAGCAGCAAAGGACTTGGAGAAAACAAGCCATCAAGTACTCAACGAAATAGATTCTATTTGCCACAGCAGAACCTACAGTGACAGATTGTTGAACAGACAGCAAACATTTGGAATTCTCTTTTTTTTCCCCCTTTTCTGTGGTCACAACATATTCCCAGGTTAGCCCTATTTGGAAAGCATCAAGAGACAATGTAACTTTTCTTTCCAGACCAAAAAAGAACAAGTATATATTATGCTACTTTTTCTAATAATACTTGGTACTACACTATACCATCAAGGTGCTAACTAGCATATAGTGGGTTGCTTTGTGCTATCGCGGACGCTAAATTCTAATAGCGGTATCTGATAATCACACACACTACTATGTAATAGATTTTCGGAGACGGTCATTTCTTATTTTTTTGTCCGCCTCTAATCAATAGTCACTATTAATCATACTTTACAGAGGCGGTCAAAATAGATCACCTTTGAAAATTGATTAATGGAGGTGGGCACCTAAAGATGTCCGCCTCTAAAAATTGATTAACGGAGGCGAGCGTCTTAAGGTGCTCGCCTCTGTTAATAGTTCTAGAAAACCCCCAAAAAAAGTCCTTCCCAGGTATCGAAAAGTTATTTTTCAAGCCGGGTATCGAAAACTTTGGTACATTGTATTGAGAACTACAATTTTGGTATAGACCATGTCAACATCCAAGGTTGTTTGAAAATTTCAAATTTCAAAATCCATGAACTTAAAAACAATATTTTAGGACTCTAAACTATTTCAAATAAAAAACATTTTAACTAAAAAGTTGTAGATCACGTCGAGAGCTACGATTTTGATATAAAGTTTGTTTTCATTCGATTTCATATGAAAAAATATTATTAATTCTTTCTAGATTCAACTATTTATATCTCTGAAAATTGATTTTTAGAGACGGATGCTTAGGATGCCCTAAGGTGACCGTCTCTATTAATTGATGATTTCTAGAGGCAGGCATGTAAATGATATTCGGAGATAGACATTTTCGTGAGGCCGCCCAACTATTTACGGAGGCGGCCCCTAAATATGTCCACCTCCGTTTATCAAAGAGACTGTGTCCTAAAATCGTTTTTGTGGTAGTGACACAAATTTATGTATATATCATAAATAATTACTAAACATAGACATTTAATTGCACTCATAGGTATGATGTCTGACATACTTTAAATTAAGAAAACAAACATGGTGTCCACACATTACATATAAAATCATCTCATATCAGAGTTTTTAAAAAATAGATTATAAGAGACATAAAATAGTTTATAAAACCATCATTTGTTGTTATTGTAAGAAGTAGCAACCTCATCACTCACATAATCTCTCGAATCATTTGTTCCATTACAAAGAATTGCGGACTGCTATAGCTATCTGTTACCTCAAATAGTGACCGTTAAGTTCCATCCTGCTAAATCTAGCCCACTACGGCGTAGCGGTAAGAGATCGCTACTGCTATTGTGGACGCTATAGCGACCACTATTTAGTTCCATGTATATCATCTCTTGTATGATAATTGTTTGATGTTAAAGCTTAATTTGCTATTTTATCTAAATTTAAGTCATTTCCCTATGTAAAATGCAAATATCAAAAGGAACTCTTATATCTGCATATGTCCTAATGTAGTAGGGGACCTCCACCCCCTGTTTCAGTTGAAAAAAAGTATAGTTACATATCTCCTAATTTCAAGGATTTTTTTAAAGGAGGCTCTCTGGAAAAGTTGATTATACTAAAAAATGCTCTTCAGGAAGATCCCAACTAGAAAAATGGTAGTAAAAGGACAAATGATTAATTTGTATGGATTTTTCTGTTTATAATCTTATCATAGCTATTGAGAATAACAAGGGAGCACACTGCAGTTTGTTTTAAAATAAAATAAAAAATTGAAAGCACATTGTTGGTGTCTGACTGATATCCACATTAACTAACTATAGAACTCCAGAGCCCATTCAATAAACCTTTTATTATCACAAGGAAATTGCTCACTCCATACTTTACAAATCTAAATGGTATCATATATATGTTCCATGTAAGTGAAGAGCTTAAATGGAACAATCCAATTACAGATACATAATCACACCAACAATAACAAACATGACATTCCTCAAAAAAAAAATTAACAAACATGACAACTAGCACAGGAAGAGTTACAAGATAGGGAATCTCATCACAGAAGTAGTATAGGAAGTTGTCCAGAACTCTTTGAGATCATGTCCTCGTTTTCTCAAAGTATGCAGCAAGAACATTTCTGGAGATAAAAGAGACAAGGATCAGTCGATAAGATATCCCTGTATCACATGTGGAGTTTTAGGGAACTTCTGTGTGTTTTAATTTTTCATGTTTATTTATCTGGAAGGGAAATTCACTCATTTGAAGAATCTAAAGGTATAACAGTTTGACATTGTATACCAAAACAATACCACGGTTAATGGTTTACTACTATTGACAGAGCAGTAAGGAAAATGTCTCAGTGTTTGCGCTGGCCATGAATCAAAACAAACAAATGAAGATAATTAACACATCATGCAGCTTATGTATTTATGTTATTATCTAACATATCTTAATACAATCTATCATATAAGAAATTTACAATGAAGCTGCCAGTTTTTTTCAAAAGAAAAAAAGCGAAGTTGCCACTTGCCAGTATTTATTACTTGCAGAATACAGATAATGATGTGTGGGTTCGCAAAAAAATAACCTGTTCTCAATGCTACCGACCGACCAGCTGTATGGCATACAAATATTGTCATCGATACTTCAATGAATTTAAGGTCACAAAATTAAAATTTTAAGGAACATGTGAATGAACTATATAGAAAACATTTATTGTTTAGTCGTCAGATCAAGGTTCAAGATCATAGCTGGACAGATTGAACTGTTAATGCCAGACAATTAGTCACAGTTGATTACAAGACAATTAAATTTTATTTGGTAGCTTGTTGGTCACTTGCTGTTGAAAAAGGCAATTTGTTTGTAGTACCCTTCTGGCTGTAGTGTGGCTGTGTGTTAGTGTGAGTTTTGAGTGTTTTCGGGGGACTTTGTCCTTGTGTACTCTCTTCTTTCTTAATAAAATAATACACAGCTCCCTTGTGTGTTCGAGAAAAAAAATACATGAGCCGTGGACATCTAATGCTACAATGCTAGTGCACTAATGTAGTCAGGTTATGTTCTACTGGAGAACATAGGGAAGATTAAATGCCAGAGAGTTCTAAAAGCAAATAGCATATATATCTTTAGTTTGTTATATATGATCTATCAGATACAATACATAATATTAAGTTAGCATCAACATCATGGAGATGATGATACTATTTCTGCATAACTGCATTTACATATATGGTGTGCAATCATATGTACCAAATGAATGAAGAATTGAACATATAAACTGAATTTTCAATTTTACTTGCTTTTGCATACCTGTTGCACCTTATTCTCCTCGCTACGGGTGGTAGATGGTTGCCTAGCAGAAGAGGTAGGTGACAACCTATCGTCCCTTACTCGGTTGAAGATACCAGTGTACTTTTCACCTGATGCTGCATTTGCATCATCCCATTCACCAAAGGGTGGTACAGCCACTTCTTCTTCAGGCTGGATTGACAAATGCAAAGCAAGAGTAATTACTCTAAAGGCATTTCTAGCCCATATTCATTGAAATATTATATTATTGAAAAACCGAAAGATAGTAAGGTATTATTACCTCACAGCCACCCGGCTTCATCCTGCTCCTTCCAGGCGTATGCTGGCCATGCCCCTCTGAAGATGGCCTCCTCTCTGGAGTCTGCATTCCAGTCAACTTGTGCTTCGGCTTTGATTGGTTGTTTGGCTGCATTGGTGAAGCAGACCCAACAGCTGTTCTGTAGGGGCTTCTTGGTGCCCCAGCATTACTCCCTTGTTCTCTCTGAGGATTTGCATGTCTTCGTGGTGCAGGCTCACGGTGAGTAGGCCGGTCGGAGTGTCGTTGGTCGTCAGTTTCAGGTCTCGGTCGATGTGGTGGGTTCCTTGGACCCTGGTCTTGAGGATTGGTTTTGTAGGCCGTTGGATGCAAAGGCGACTTGCGAGGATGTTCCGGGTTCCTCCTTGGATCATTTGGCTGTGTAGGAATTCCTGTTTTCTTGTTCTTCCTTGCATCCTCGAACTTTTGTGTGTAAGGGGTGTTTCCTGTAGTTTCCCAATCCCCAAATGCAGGAATTTCAGGGTGCTGTACAGAGCAGATCAATCAGTAGCTTTAGTCAACTTTCTGGAGGACTATGATTTATGATATATAAACATGTAAAAGCATCCATCTGTTGCTAGGATCATTTTTGTAGGAGAAGAATTAGCAAGGACAAAAAGGTTCTCAAGCATCCCAAACTATGCTGAATACTCTACAGCAGGATTCACATTAACATTTCTGAAAAACTAGGACTGAAACCCCCTAAATATTTGGGATGTCCATGATACATGCTGACATGCAAAAGAAGAGTATAATCCATATATCAATCTGGGTCAGGTGCACTCAGATCTAGAATTGTGACATTTGCAGTTCACTGGTTTCAACAAGGATTTATCTGGGAAAGCATCAGCCATATATCAACCTTAGAAAAAAAAAATCACTCACAGCATAAATAGGGCTACCATACACAGCACACCAATCACCACAAGAATAAACTAAGGTGGGTTTATAATTACCAAACCAGCTAAGCACACTGCTCATTCATCAGTAGTTATAGGTCCCATTATGTCTCCCTGTGTCTTCCAGACAGGACGTCTAAAATTAACTACAGCAAAAACACGTCCAGATGTACAAAATGTCAAAAATTTCTCCAGCCTAAGCAAGACAAGGCAGAACCAAAATATCATTCTACACTAGTTCTTCTCTAACCAGTCAATTAGCCATCACATGACAGACCAATTCCAGATTTCCTACAGTTGAATCAAAATGTAATACACGGTACCAAGACATCAAGAGGTCAAAGACATGATAAGTACGCAAAATCAGAAACGATTTACTCACCGCCATCGGCCAATTCAGATCTGCAAGGCAGAATTGAGCTTCTCCCGTGCAAAGAAAATTCTGAACTACCACCCTTTTTACACAAATTCTTGGAGGAACAGAGCACAGTCCTCCAAAGGAAAGCACAGAAGTGTCAGTTTTTCCTCAGAGTAGTACTGACTGTACTATTCTTTCCTCGAAGAGTTAGCATAGTACTCCTTTCATCTCAACCAACTCACCAGGAACCAACAGAATCAAGATCAAATCCTCCCAAGAAAGGAATATCACAGGAACTCCCAAGTTTATAGCCTTTTTGCAGCAAGGATAAAGTTAAGGTACCCCCAACCACCCAAATCCATAAAAACGAGGAGGGAGGATTGAAGGAAGCTCTGCCCTGCCACCGAAATTCACCAAATCCTCTCAGGAAAACGAGAAGTAAGAGCTGCAGATGACTAATTTGACCCTCAATTATTCAGAGAAGCTCCAAAATCACCAGGATTGATGGTGTCTTCTGCTGGCTACCCTTTCCAACTACTCAACCTGAACAAGCATCCAACCCAATTAAATAAAAATCAAATTGTCTCCTCGACAACACAAAGCAGAAGGAGCCACCAAGGAGAAGTCAAAGTTGGATTCTTTGACGCTATATAGGACTGCAATTAGACTACCCAAGAAAATGGATCGAAGGCGACATCCTTCGCACGAATCTCTCAAGAGAAAACACAAAAAAACACTCTGGAAGAAACTCAATTTTCTCAAGGAAAACGCTCAAATCCCCCGCGGCGGAAGGACCGAGTCACCGAAAATCGAACTCAAAGGTGGATCCTCTCTTCTAACCTTGCGGCTTCAGAAGTAGTACACGCGCACGAGAGAGAGGAAGTGGGAAGGAACAACCGAACAAGGAATTCAGAGGGGGGGGAGGAAGAAAAAGAGAAGGAAGCGAGGAAGAAGACAAAGACGTTGACGAGGGAGTGAGAGCCGTTTTGCTTGTCAGTGAAAGCCTTCAAAGCTCCTTTTTTTTTCGTTTTCGAATAAAATTTGGTACGGACACTTTAAGGTACGGAGAGTTTCTTCGTCCCTGTTTTTGCCCGTTCCATGTTTTTTTTAGCAAACATCGTTTAGGTCCCTGAACTACACCGATGTTGTCCAGTTGCCCGAACTTTTAAAGTGATATCTATGAGTTCTTAAATTTGACAGACGGTGTCATTTAGGTCTTTAAACTTTTAGAGTGATCACCGTAGGTCCCTAAATTTGACCGACAATATCATCCCAGTCCATAAACTTTCAAGGTGATCACCCCAATCCAAATGTGGTGCAACATACTCTATAAGCTAACGTGGCACGCTGACTGTACCTTAGACATGGATCCAACATGTGTCAATGAATCAATCATTATTTATATAATATTTATCATGAAAATTATTTATATAATATTTATCATGAAAATATAAATTATATCAAAATAATTGACATCAACCAAAAATAAATTAAAGTATTAAAATAAGAATTAAGTCCACTTTTGGTCCCTCAGCTACTGTGTCGGTCTAATTTTAACCCTCAACTATAAAACCGTCTAGTACAGGTACCCCAACTATCAAAACTGTTCACTTTTAGCACCTGAGCGGGGCAAGGCTGTTTTGACCGACGTTGAGCGGTCTTGACACGTAACCTCCATCTCAGTGACATGTGGGGCCCACGTCATTGACTCAATCCCTCCCTCTCTATCCTCACGGCCACGGCCTCGCGCTCCTGGACGTCGACGAGGAAGGCGGTCGCGGCGCCGACCACGGCAGCACACGCACGGTCCGCAAGCGAGCCGTGACACCTGACGCATTCGCGCCTCCACGGCACCATCCGCGCGCTCAGGGCGTGGTGCGGCGCCGGCGGAGCCTCCACCACCTCCGGCCATGGCCTCGCGCTCCTGGACGCCGACGAGGAAGGCGGCCGCGGTGCCGACCGTGGCATCACACGCGCGGTCCGAGAGCAAGCCGTGCCACCCGGCGCTCGCACGCCTCCACGGCACCGTCCGCGCACTCAGGGCGTGGTGCGGCCCCGGCGGAGCCTCCTCCTCCTTCGGCCACGGCGTCGCGCTCCTGAACGTCGACGAGGAAGGCGGCTACGGCGCCAACCGAGCCAGCACACGCGCGGTCCGCGAGCGAGCCGTGCCACCCGGCGCTCGCTCGCCTCCACGACACCGTCCGCACACTCAAGGCATGGTGCTGCGCCAGCAGAGCCTCCTCCTCTTCTGGCCACGGCCTCGTGCTCCTGGACGTTGACGAGGAAGGCAACCGCGGCGCCGACCGCGGTAGCACACGCGCGGTCCGTGAGTGAGCTGTGCCACCCAGCGCTCGCGTGCCTCCACGGCACCATCCGCGCGCTCAGGGGCGTGGTGCGACGCCGCTGGAGCCTCGTCCTCCGGCCACGGCCTCGTGCTCCTGGATGCCAACGAGGAAGGCGGCTGTGCAGCGCTGACCGCGACAGCACACGCGCGGTCCGCGAGCGAGCCGTGCCACCCGGCCCTCGCGCGCCTCCATGGCACCGTCCGCGCGCTCCGGGCATGGTGCATCGCCGGCGGAGCCTCATCCTCCTCCGACCACGGCCTCGCATTCCTGGACGCCGTCCTGGCCACGCTCGGTGACCTGCTGGCCACGCCGCGGGCCGCGGCGGCCCTCCATGACGCAGACGCTGATGACGACCAGGTCCTTGACGGCCTCCTCGTGCTCGCGGACACGCATGACATGTTTGAGTCGGTGCTGCTCGCGGCGAAGCAGAGCGTGGTGGACGCGCAGGCCGGCGCCCAACGCGGGGATGGCACGGTGGTCGCCGCGTCGCTGCACGCGCACAGGGTGGACCAAAAAGGAGCTGCACTGCCTCGCCGCCGTGATGCGGCACACCTCGACCTCGAGGCACGCGGCGCTGGAGCCCAGCTCAGCGGACGCCGCGGACACTGAAGTGGTCGGCGTGGTGGCGGAGGCGGCCGTGGCTACGGCGGAGGCCTCGGCGGTCGTCTTCACCTCGTGCGTGGCCTTGTCGCCAAACGTGTCGGCCTTGGTACAAACGGCGTCTTCGGCTTTGCACTGGCATGGCCAGTTGCCGGTGAGCCATGGCCGTGAGGATGGAGAGGGAGGGATTAAGTCGATGACGCGTGGGCCCCACATGTCACTGAGATGGAGGTTGCGTGTCAAAGCCGCTTAACGTCGGTCAAAAACAACCTTGCCCCCACCCAGGTGCTAAAAGTGAACGGTTTTAACAGTTGGGGTACCGGTAGTAAATGGTTTTGTAGTTGAGGGTTAAAATTAGACCGACACAATAGTTGAGGGGCCAAAAGTGGACTTAATCCTTAAAATAATTTACATCAACAAACATATTAGGTTCAAACTAAAATAGAAAAATACTAAAATTAATTTAGTATTTATGTATCATTAATTGTATTAGAATAGTATTCAAATTCATAACGTATTAAAAGTATTCTCTATTAAAAGTTACTTCTAATTTTAGTATTATTTTAAAAGTTTTAACAATAATATTATGAAGTAACTTTTCTCTATTATTAATACTATAATACAATTACTTTTAATAGTAGCATTATAGTATTAGAACTTTTAATTATAGTATTATAGTACTAAAAGTATAACAATGATATAGCATTAATAACATAGAAAAGTTACTTCATAATACTGCTGTTAAATTTTTTAAAATAATACTAAAAATTAGAAATAACTTTTAATAGAGAAAACTTTTAATACTATAGGTAATTTTTAATATTATTACATTTGGGCAGGGATGACACCGTTTGCTAAGTTTAGGGACCTGCGGTGATCACTTTGAAAGTTCAGGGACTGGGATGACACCGCCAGCCAAGTTTAGGAACCTACAGTAATCACCTTGAAAATTTAGGGACCTAGATGACACCGTCTGCCAAGTTTAGGAACCCACAAATATCACTTTAGAAGTTCAGGGACCTGAATGACACCACCGGTCAAGTTCAGGGACCGACGATGAATTTTGCTATTTTTGATCCTTTTTCACTTTTTCGGTTTCAATTTTTTTTCTGTTCCATGTTTCCTTTGTAAACACTCGTGATTAGTTGGGCCGATAAGTTACTCATCTAGAGCAACTTTTCAGACCACTTCTGGTGCCAATAGCCCCTCTACTCCATCCTAAATTATGAAGGCATGTTTAGATGACAGCTCGATTATTATAATTTAGATTATGCATAGGTATTATTATAATCAGGACTATGAATTACAATAATCAGAGTATTTGGATCAATGGATTACGGTAATTGATTATGGTTAATTAAAGTGATAAATTCATATCTTATTATTTATAGCGGAGGGCCGCCTTCGATGGCGGTCTCGTAGGTTTCCTCCTCTGCTATTGGGAAAGTCCGATTCTTTGCAAAGAACCCCTAGCAGGTCAGGACAACAAGGGCAAACGGCCGGTTCATCTGGCAAAAATTCCCAGAAACCGCAGCCACCAAATAAACCAACAACACATTTGCTAGTCTCCTCCAAACCCCAGCTAGATCAAGATCAACATTGACGGAGCTTTTGTAGACCAGTTGGGTGAGGCGGGGAGTAGGGGTTGTTGCACGAAATAGTGATGGTCACATAGCCTTCTCGGCTTGTAAGTACTATGGAAGGTGTGGTAGTGCACCCGAAGAAGCAGCCTTGGCCTGCACCGAAGGATTACGGTGGGCTGTCCAGCGGCAACTGCCTCGGATCATCATCGACAACGGACTATGCACGAATAGTTGAGGCCATGAGAAGCACGCAGAAGGACAGGTCGGGGATCAGCTTCGTTATAGAGGAGGCAAAGGGGTTCACTCGTTTGTTGAATGGGCGACGCATTTCCCATGTAAAGAGAGAAGGAAACAACGTTGCAAATGCTATTGCTAGTTTAGCTAGGCGTAGTAAAATGTCAGAGGCTTGGTGGGATAAAACACCGTCGGGTGTTGAAGCCCTGATCAATGCTGGTTGTATAAACTTCATGCCTAGTTAATAAAGCTCTCTTTACTCGCAAAA